GGAGACAGACAGATGCAACAGGAAGCCAATCCCAGCATATATATATATATATGAAGACCTTGACTTAGTGGTGCTGAGGGTGATAGGAAAAGAGAAGCCTTTATTCCTAGGCCTAACCCTGGACTTACTCCAAGATATATAGATTTTATTTTTTAAAGATTTTACTTATTTACTTATTTAGAGAGCGTGAGCAGGGGGAGAGGAAGAGAGAATCTCAAGCAGACTACATGCTGAGCGTGGAGCCCAACCCAGGGCTCAATCTCATGACCCTGAGATCATGACCTGAGCCAAAGTCAAAAGTTGGACACTCAGCCAACTGAGCCACTCAGACCCCCAAATTATATAGATTTTAGGACTATGGGCTTAAGATTTTACTTATGAGGGAGGGAAGGGGAGAGAGAAGCAGACTCCCTGCTGAGCAGGGAGCCCGCAACTTGGGGCTCGATCCCAGGACCCAGAGATTACGACCTGAGCCGAAGGCAGACGCTTAACTGACTGAGCCACTCAGGTGCCCCAGACTATGGGTTTAGAAGTAGTTTTTATTTAGGAAGAAAAAACTTTGATTAAAACACCAGTCAGAAAAGTAACTCTATTATTGTTTATCATTCTATATGTGAAACTATCCACCCCAACTCCCCCTTTCCCAATAAAACAATCTTTTTTTTGAAAGATTTTATTTATTTAGTTTGGGGGTGGACAGAGGGAAAGGGAGAAAGTCTTAAGCAAGGGCTCGATCTCACGACCCTGAGACTACCACCTGAGCCGAAACCAAGAGTCAGATGCTTAACTGCACCATGCAGGCGCCCCAACAATTACTTTTATAATGTGAAACTTTGTATTTATATATCACATTATAAATACATTATAAGCACAATCAGGTGTGTGTTAAACTCAAGGTTTTTTATACAAGGTACTGTCTATAGCAGTACTGATGGGCATAATAAATCACATCTGTGTTCTTACCTGTATTTAGTGCTGTCTTTAGTATTTAAAAATAATTTTCTGTATGTAAATCAAGCCCTACTTCACGGGCCAATTAACATCAGCTCATTTATTGCTGCTTGCTGAGGACCCACCGGGTGCCAGGCACTGAGGTGGAGACAGACAGATGCAACAGGAAGCCAATCCCAGCAGATCTGCCCTCGGGGAGATTATAGTCCCATCCTGGAGCCGGGCAATCAGTAAGTTTTTACAGGGAAGTACTGTCACACAGTGTAAAATCACTAGACGGCGTGAAACCCAGTCTGAGAGGTCAGGAGATGACATGCTCGGTACATGGGGTGTACCGAGCATGTCATGTCCTGAGAGGGGTGGGGTGGGGGAGGGCATCCCAGGCGGAGGGGGCTGCACAGGGGACGTCCCTCCTGATGCGGGGACAGGTGGCACATTCGATGAGCCACAGGAGGCAGCAGGGGAGGAAGGTAGCTCCCAACGGGCTGGAAAGATGGGCAGAGGCGGATCTGGTAGGGTCCTGTAAGCCTCGCTGAGGAGTCTGGGCTTCGTTCTGCGGGAATCAGAAGCCCCTGCCCAGACTTAAGGGGAGGCTTTGATGCCACAAGGAGGCATTGTGGCCAACAGGTGGGAAATGGGTAGCTGAGGGCTGGTAAGGGCACAGTGGATAGCAAAGCTGATGAAGAGCAGAGATGAAGTGGTCAGTGCCCTTCTGAAGCCTCAAGATCACAACCCTCTGTGCCTTGAGCAATGGGGGGCTGTGAGCACGGAGCCCTCGGGAAACCTCCCAGGAACCAGTCACTGTCAGCAGCAGGCCTGCCTCCCCCATCTCTTGCTTTAAACCGCGGCCTTCTTACACTGTTCTCCTTTTCCGAGACTTCTCACCACCTTCAGTTCTTGGCTGAACTGAGCCTTGAACATCTCCTACCTGTCCCTTAGATGGACAAGTACAGAGCCCTCCGGGGTCACAGGGATCATGTGATGCATTTTATATATTCACAGACACCTGTGGTCTGATGAGGATGTGGTCTTTCCAGCGGCTTTGTGAAGACGGTCACGTGGACCTAGGAAATGCCATCGAATCTGCAGGCTGTCCCTTTGCCAGGGACAATCACCGGGGTGGGTCAATACACTAATCATGGTAATGGTTAATCCATAACCCTCCGTGCTTCCCAAGGGACATTTTATTCACTTTAAACCCAATACAAAGGCATGAAAAGTGAGGGCAGGACAAACTCTGAAAATACTGTAGTTATAATCTTCTGTTCTCTCCATTATTTTTATTTTTTAAATTTATTCTGCTTATTTCCATCTCTATCTTTCATACAAAAGGCCCTTCTCAACTGTATGGTTATCCTCAGCTACCTGCTCATATTTAGGGGCTGGTATTTAAGTACCGAGTGAAGGGGCGCCTGGGTGACTCAGTCAGTTAAGCGTCTGCCTTCAGCTTAGGTCATGATCCCAGCCAGGGTTCTGGGATCAAGTCCCGCATCAGGCTCCCTGCTCAGCGGGGAGTCTGCTTCTCCCTCTCCCTCTGCCTGCCGCTCCCCCTGCTTGTGCTCTGTCAAATAAATAAAATCTTAAAAAATAAAAAGTGCCAAGTGGAAGTTCTGTGACGGCAGAGTTTGTCAGCTGATGGGACCTTCACTCCAGGAAGAGAACCCACCATCCTCGCTCTGGTGGAATTGTACACTTCATGAGATAGAGTCCTAGCTTTCTTGTTAGCCACAAGATTCCCTGCATCTAGAACATAGTGGGTGCTTGATAAATATTTGATGTTATTACAAAACCTCTTGGAGCCTTGGTTTTCTCATCTGAAAATTGGGGATAAAAAATATCTATCCGAGGAGCACCTGGGTGGCTCAGTCAGTTGAGCGTCCAACTCTTCATTTCAGCTCAGGGCATGATCTCAGAGTCCTGGGATCAAAGCCCTGTGTCGGGCTCCACACTCAGTGGCGAGTCTGTTTCTCTCTCTGTCCCTCTGCCCCTCCCCGCTGGTCATTCTCTCTCTCAAATAAATAAATCTTGAAAAAATGTATTTCTGGCAGGTGTTCTGAGAAGAGATGGTAGATGGAAAGCACCTGGCACAGTGCTTAGTATTCAGCAGACTGGTTACAAATAATAACAGGTAGCAATCATTGTTCTCGTTATTTCTAAGGCAACAGGGCGGCAGCTTCATGACCATCTGTGGTCACCAGTAGCCAGGCTAAATATAGAGGCAAAGTATAGTACTTGTTGAGAGGCTAGTTATTATAGTACAGATCAACAAAGCAAGGAGAAGGCTCAAGATAACAGCCTCTGACAGTCAATGCATAGAAAGTCCAAGGACGTTCAGTCTTCAGGTGTAACTGAGAAAGGTGGGTAGTGGCGCTACCTCACTGGAGAGCTCTGGAATCGCCATCTCGTGGAACGCTCTTCTCCTGCTCTGCTCAGGCTGTTAGGAGCAACTGAACAGTAAAGGCACTGGAGGAAGGTGAAGAGTATGCCAAGCCTCCCCCCAAACCCCGGCACTCCATCCATACAGCAGGCAGGCTGATGGATTGTCTCTTTTGGAATAGGTTTAAAATACAGGTCTATAGTTTAAAAAAGAAAAAACAGCACAAGAGGGTACTTGCAGAAAGATGGAAAGGTCAGGATTCCTATCACCCCCAAACCTTCAGGCAGATTCCCCAGAGATAATCACTGTTATGTCTCAGCGATCTTTTTATGCATACACCATATATGCATATTTTTTCACAGATGGGCTCATAAAAAACTTCTGAAACGTGCCTCCCCCCACTTCATTTATCCTGAATATCTTTGCGTATCAGTATACATAGACTTACCTCCTTATTTTTATCAAATGCTCTATTCACTAAGATAATGCAATAGATACACTCCCAGATCTGGATGGCTTAACAAAAGTGAGGTTTATTTCTCATTTATCTAAATCCAACTGGTGGTAGGGAATGTGTGTGTAGGGAGGCGGGGAAGCACTTATTCAGGGATCCAGGATGACCAAGACCCTGCCAACTTCAACATGTGACTTCTGCACGGTGGCTTCTAAGGTCACCCTTGGTGTTGATATCCAGCAAGCAGATAGGGAAAAAGAGTGTGCAGGAAGGCAAGGTTTTATATGAGCCAGGCCTAGAAGAGACATGTATCACTTCTGCCCACATTCCACTGCCCAGAATTAGACTCTCTGCCCGAGCCCAGTACGAGGCCCTGTCCTGGCTGGACAGCTGCTTCCTACAGCGGGACACTGTGGAGGAAAAGCACAAATCTTAGGTTGGCAATTAACTGTTCTCTGCCACAGACGCATCCTCATTTATTTAAGCTTCAGGAGGCCGGCTTTCCTCTTCTCTCTCTTCTGCTTTTCTACTTGTCTTTTGTCAAAGGCAAATTGTAAACTATGGAAAACTATTACCTGGGAAGTGTAGGTACACTGGTTCAGATGTGGTGGGGGTAGGGAGGAACACTCTCAAGGAAAAGCCTTTAAAAGATGCATATCTTTGACCCAAGAACACATCTAAAGGACCTGTCCTAAGGAAATTAGTGGATGACTGCTCACACTGCATGTATGAGGATGACTATAAGCCAGCTAGGTGCCCGACATTAGAGACCTGTATGCACTTACGATGCCTCCGTATAATGGAATACAGTTGGTTAAAATAATTGTGTAGATACCTACAAACACAAAAATATGTCCACACGTTATGACAACAGACTCCTAAACAGTGTTAAGTAAATTTTTAAAAATACATTGGTTACTTGTGGCAAAAAGGCTAGAGGACATACATTAAAATGTTTACAGTATTTATCCCTGGTAAGAGGGCTATTTTCTTGTTACACATTTATATAATGTCTGAATGTTTTATCATTGGAAAAAACAGTGAAGCTATTTTCAGCTTGAAACAAACAAACAAAAAATGTAGATAAAGGCAACGGGAGCTTAGGTGACTGAAAACAAGTCTGTGAATCAGATCTGGCCTCCCAGACCCTGTCACCCGACACTCAAGTGGCTATCGTGAGCACTTTTCTCTGTTGAAGTGACTGGCTTTTGTCAGGCCGATCGCAGGTTATGACGGGAGAGAATGGGCCTCCGGGCAGTCCGCAGCAGTCCCCGCCCCCGGGGCGCCCCGTCGGCGACTCAGTGGGCCGGGGCTCACTGTGCCTCCGGCCTCGGCATGGGGAACGCCATCAGGGCCCTGGTGGCCTTCGTCCCCACTAACTGCTGCCAGAGCTACGTGGTCAAAGACCTCTGGGAGATGCCGGCGGACAAGATGGTGGACCTGAGTGGGAAGCAGCTCCGCCGCTTCCCTGCGCACGTGTGCTCCTTCCAGGAGCTGGTCAAGCTCTACCTGAGTGACAACCACCTCAACAGCCTGCCCCCTGAGCTGGGGCAGCTCCAGAATCTGCAGATCTTGGCCCTGGATTTCAACAACTTCAAGGCTCTGCCTCAGGTGGTGTGTACTTTGAAACAGCTCTGCATCCTCTACCTGGGTAACAACAAACTTTGCGACCTCCCCAGTGAGCTGAGCCTGCTCCAGAATCTCCGGACCCTGTGGGTGGAGGCCAACTGCCTCACCCAGCTGCCAGATGTGGTCTGTGAGCTGAGGCTCCTTAAGACGCTGCACGCCGGCTCCAACGCCCTGCGTCTGCTACCAGGCCAGCTCCAGCGCCTCCGGGAGCTGCGGACCATCTGGCTCTCAGGCAACCTGCTGACTGACTTCCCTGCTGTGCTGCTGCACATGCCCTTCCTGGAGGTGATTGATGTGGACAGGAACAGCATCCGTTACTTCCCCAGCCTGGCCCACCTGTCAAGTCTGAAGCTGGTCATCTATGACCATAATCCTTGCAGGAATGCACCCAAGGTGGCCAAAGGTGTGCGCCGTGTGGGAAGATGGGCAGAGGAGACGCCAGAGCCCGACCCCAGGAAAGCCAGACGCTATGCCTTGACCCAGGTGGAAAGCCAGGACGGAGAGGCACCTGCCCTGCCTTCTCTACTTCTTCCTCCCAACTCCTGAAAAGCTTCAGCTGTCAGTCAAGGCCAAGGACACAACCCCAGTGTCTTCTGGACACCTCTCCTTTAGAGTGCAAAGGATTGCTCTGGGATATGTGGGGTGCCTCTGCCAGTGGGGGCTGATCAAGTGAGAAGAAATGCCTCAATCACACCAAGAAGAAAAAATTTCTGGCCAACATCTCTCCCAAAGCGAAGCTGTGTGCTCTGGGTAGCATGAGGACTTCTTTGCAAGAAAATCCGCTTCTCCAGCTATTTTGGAATACTGAAGAGTCAGAAGGGCCAGGACATTTTGTCCTTCTCCACTCTCCAGAAGTGGCTGTTCACGATGCTCATGAACTCCTCAAATAAGGTATTTATTAAAGAATTCGCCTGGCTCCAGCCCTTTACAGGATATATTGTGTTACTATGAATGACCATAAGTGGTATGAAAATACTAATTCAGGCCGCTTATAAAAGACATTTTTACCTACTCAGTCAGACTCACAGACTCTGTGCTGTTGCAAAGGCTCAAGATGAAGCTTCTTCCCTGCAGCTCAGTGCATGCTGGGAGAAGACCCGATGGAAAATGCCTCCTGGTGGAGTCCGGCTGCCATTCTGCACTTGACAGAGGTTCATGCTGACTTAGCTGGTTTTCCCTAAAGGGTATGACCCAAGATCTGCTCTCAACTGCTTCCTGTTACCACAATGCTAGAAGTCATCTAGAAAGTACAACCTCTTGTTGGCCACATGGTCTTATTAAAATCAAGTAGTTGTAATCCTGCCTGCCTCTGTAGGGCAGAGTCCCTGTTTATTCACATTAATGAAGCAGAGCTGAACTGAATCCCCTTCTGTCGAGGGAAACATTTCCAGAGCCATATTAGGATAAAGGCAGTAGGTGAAAAATGTTTACTTGAAACAAGCATCTGGAAATCTGAGTTGCAGGTTGTGGTATACCTAGGACGCTTCCGCCTCTAGCCGCAGCTTCTCAGCCTTTGCTCTGATTTCTGTTGATTTTTGTAGATACAGTCTTTTGATGGTCAGTGTATAGCTTAGATATTTTGGCCGTTTTTTAAAATGTAAATTGTGACCTTTTCTTCTTCCCACAAGTACATCAACCTTAAAGATACTGCTGTCAGTGGGTGATTTAATATAATATAGTCCTTTATGTTTTTGAACCCTTCCAGCACGGACACAAAAAGTGTCCTCTTTACTAAAACTTTCATGTGTTTAGCTTTTGAAAAGTTACTTTTGCCATAAAAGCAACTTTACCCAGCAATGTTTGATTCTAAAATGACACTGCAGATTATTTTCAAGTGTTTTCCTACTATAAATATTTCTTGCTAAACCAGAAGAAGAAAACGTTTCATATCACAATCTCTTCCTATTGCTACCTCCCAATCTGTAGAATATTTGCAACCCACTGATTAGACTGCCAACAGATCCCTTTAATCATTCAATATAATAGGCTGTCAAATATTTAACTGCTTTAGTAACCAGTCCAGATTTCCATTAGGCAACTAGGATTTACAGTTTATTTTCTCATGTCTGACTGACTGAAGCGAAACTATACTCAGTTGATGCTAGAAACGTTATGCCAACAGAACTGCCTTCTGAGCTGTATCTATAGCCAGCCTTATAGATGGCTCTGATTTCTTTTGACCCTGGCTTCCTCCTCCTAAGATGAATGGGCCCACCTTTTCCACAGCTGTAGGCTACAGCCATAAAACAGAGTGATGCCAACTGACCTGTACAGAGTTCTTGTGTAAAGAGCTAACTGGTCTGAATCAAATGTCAAATTATAAACATTTGGCACGTAGTCCAGTGGTTTTCTTCTAAAATAACATACAACAAACATTTCTCAAACAATATGGTTAAGGGTTCACCACTGCTTTTGCTACCCAAAAATGTTTTCACTACAGGATTTCAATCAATTTTATAAAGTAACCATGTAAATGCATAGTAACATTTCTGTAACCCTCTGATGTTTTTTTGAAATTCTGACATAAAAAGTTAAAAAGGGGAAAATGAAGCACCAAATGTAACTTTTTACTCATAATTTTAAAAGCCCTGAAACCCAAAATGTTATGCATCAGAGAAAAATCTTTTTTTAAAAAAGATTTATTTGAGAGAGAGCATGCGAGTGCACACATGGGGTGGGAGGGGCAGAAGGAGAGCAAATCCTAAGGACCTATTACAAGTAAGATTCGGGGTGTGGGGATCAATATAGTACTGAGACAACCAGATAGGAGTGTTAGAAGTCACCACCCATGAGGCTAGATGAACAGTGAACAGCAATGTTACCCTAATCAAGTAAGAGCTAAAAGGCATGAAGAAAGGGGCTACCAACGAAACTGTAGTTGATAGGTCTCACAGGGATGCCGCCATTTCCAGAGACAAAGAGCAAGAGTCGGAAGAAAGTATCAATTCCCTATCCCCATATCTTGCCAGTGCCTCCTGAGTTAAACCACAGAAGTGGTGAGGCAGTCAGCAAGGAAAAGTGGGTGGGCCCGTGGCCTCCAAGCAGGCAAAGAATGGATCGTGGCTTGAAGACAGTAAAAGGGGAATAAAGAGTATACATATTACCCTTCAAAGAAAAACTGAAAGCTACTTAGAATAGATTTAAAAATCCTAAGCACTTAAGACAATTTTTCATGTGCTTATTATTAACATACATTCCAAATCTCTATTTCCATGTCACAAAAGTTTTGTGAAAAACTGCTTCCGTATTTACTGTTTCTGAGTTACAAGAAACTCCATCCTAAAACTGTTATAGGAATAGTGGGGCCTAGGTTGGTATTTAAGTTCTGACTGAAAAGACATTAAAATTTGTGAACCTGAGATAGTCTAGGTCTATGACAACAATGTAAGGTCTTCAAAGGATATGAATTCAAAGAGGAAAAGAGGCATGGCTGTATTTTTGGATGTAACAATGAAGCTCCTATGTTTCTACCTCTTTTTAGATTAATACTTAACAGGTGTATTCTTTTTAAGACCTCTGGAGAAAACATGCCCAAGTATCCTTTTAAGATCTTACTCCAGGCTATCTAGTACTCTCAGACAGATGTTTAAACCCACTTCTACTGAAACCTCTGTAGGTTTTCTTGGTCATGATATGCTCACCTGTTGCACCCGAGGTATGGAGGTGAAAACAGATGTTATGATGTGATAAAGTACTTAAAAAAAAAAAAATCAGTGCAATTCTCTTTGATAATCTCAGGAAAAGCTTCTCCTTCATGTCAATGTTGGAGGATACACACTAGGACCACAAAGAAAAACACCAGTTTTCCCAGTTTTAATTGCTTCTACAAAAGTAATATTAAAATGTTGAGACAAACTTTTTAGACAAAACCAAAACAGACTGGGGGCACTTGGCCAGCTCAGTTGGTAGAGCATGTGACTCGATCTCAGGGTCATGGGCTCAAGCTCCACGTGGAGCCTACTTTAGAAAAACAAACACAATAAAACAGGTTGTTTTATCAGCATTTCTTTGAAAACCCTTTTGCTCCTCTATGGGAATAAAATGTCTCCCCATTAAGGTAGCAGAGATACCCTGTAAAAACTCAACCTACTGCTAGGCTTTCTCTCATTTCTGCTATACATCGAGGCATTAATAACCTCCAAATCTAAATTCACCTTTAAACCATTAACTCAGTACATACCTATCCCTATTCCCACTCTTTCTCGAATCCATTTGCCAAAAACAAAAAATCCTAACTGATCAACAATGCCTAAATCTAACCACATCCATCTTTTTTAAGATATTACCCATTAAAGCATCAAAGGTGCTTGAGAAACAGCTTGTAACAAATGACTTTTAAAACAGGACTTTTTCAAACTTGAAGTAACAAAAACCACGATCATTTTGCCCTATGTAAGAGATAGTACTTAGACAACACAAAATTAAACTGAGTACTAAACTTTAAGATACTTTCACTAAATAAAATTAAACAGCTAATAAAGGTTACATATGATTACAAACCAAGAGATTAACCTATGTTTATCACATCTGACTTTGACTTGACAAGATCATTATTTCATAAACGTGTACGGTCCATCATCAGTTAAGCCAAACAACTCCATACTGAGAGTATAATCATTTGCTCCCATTAAATAAAAAAAAAAAAGTACAAGCCACCACTAAGACAGATAAGAAAAATTAATTGTTCAAATTTTTATTTTGATGCACAGTATGAGAAATGAACTTTTAAATCAACTAAATTTTATGGATAATGAAACAGCAAATAAATTAGACCCATGTTAAAATAGAAGGTCAGTTAAATGTCCAAACTTAAGGATCTAAGAGCCACAGATAAACTTCGATTCCACAGTCTTCTTCAAAAGGTCGAAGTCTTTCAAACACAACTTTGCTATGAACTAACTGGTCCAGAGCTCAACAGCACATGGGAATGTTTAACAGGGGTGGTGATCAGGGACACGTTTCCTGCAAGTATTACAAAACAAACACTTAAGAAAACGCAATGGTAAAATTGAAAAACATGACTGTAACCAAGGATTTATATTAAATACAAACACAGCTGAAATCCTAATTTTATCAAAACCATTATAACCAATTCCTTATAACAAGGATGTTTCTACCTCATTACTAACATCCCTCAATTATTATTGTATTAGTAAGAAGACAGTACAAAATCTGTGGAATGTGAAGACCCATAGGTATTTAGCAATTCTCAACTTCTCATCCAAACAACCTATTTAACAAATACATATTCTCCCAAAAAAAAAAGGTTAATTCATGTTTTCAACTAATGTGTGAGGGCATTTTACCAAATCAAAGACAAAGACAGTTTACTCTTAACCAGAAGTTGTAAAATGACAAGGCTTGGGGCGCCTGGGTGGCTCAGTCGTTAAGCGTCTGCCTTCGGCTCAGGTCATGATCCCAGGGTCCTGGGATCGAGCCCCACGTCGGGCTCCCTGCTCTGCAGGAAGCCTGTTTCTCCCTCTCCCACTCCCCCTGCTTGTGTTCCTGCTCTCACTATGTCTCTCTCTCTCAAATAAATAAATAAAATCTTTAAAAAAAAAAAAAAGACAAGGCTTTGGGGCCTCTAGATGAAAATCTCTGGATCATTATTCTAAATAATGAAAATGAATGCCAGTAGATACGCTATTGGCAGGGTCAGGTAACTCACCAAAGTATGTAAACAGTGCCTTTCAATACATCTTAGGTGTTAAACTTTTACTCTCTGGGGAGAAAATAGTGAATCTCTCAAGGAGGAGGCATGGCAGGGTATTAGAGAATTTTTTTACTTAAGCACTGCTTTTTTTACTTTACTTTTTTACTTTACTTAAGCACTGCTTCTAGAGTCAAGTATAGCAATCATTCTAGAGAAGCAGAGAAAGTATAAAAACAGATCCAAAGAGTACAGCATACTGGGGCAATATAAAGAAAGATCTTCCAACCCTGGAAGCTTATGGGAATATGATTAAGGATGCTGAAAGATATCAATAGAGAAAAATTTCTCCAGCAGCTGTCACGGGGCAACTAATCTGGAAAACGAGTCCCCTGGAGGTTAAGTATAAAAAAGTTCCAAGGTTGAGGTAAACACAATTACTCATGTTTCTTTACTACAAATTACTGAGTATGTCTACTAAATTTAATAGACACTTAAACCACTAAAACAGTGGTATCAGATCAAATGAGGTATTTTAGTGTATTTCAAATGTGGTTGAGGGTGCCAAGTCATTGCAAAGATTTCTGAGGGTGACCTTATGTGACCTTGCCGTCAAGCCAGAAAACTTTATAGACCTGTTTCCTTTTGCTATCATTCTGCTTAAAAAGACAGGAGAAAACAGAACCACACTCAACCATCTTTGCTGACACAGCTTCCAAGAAACTTTCTCTCAACTCCTTCCCTCACCAATGCTCCATTCCAAAATAGGACCATTCCTCATTACCCTAACCAGTACCAGAGAAAGAGAATCTTCAGATTTTTCAGCCCAGTCCTCCTTCCACTACACCACAGTAGATTTAAATACCACTCCCCTTTTCTCTCCACATCCAAATCACTATTTTCTCCTCTTTCCTTCTTCCAATAATAAGAGGATGACAGCTGCCATTTACAGAAGCAAGCCACTGAAGGGGTGCTACTGGGTTCCACACAGAGATTCCTCATAACAGAGTCCACTTGAGGTGCAATCTCCTGATAGTGCTCCTCCTTCCCTCCTGTTCCCAGGGACGAACTCCCCTGTGGTCCCCGTGCTCCATCTAAAACCAAGCCCTTCTCTCGTTCTCTCATTCCTCTTCACAGCTACTCAGTGGGCTGCTTCCTCTACCGCATCCATCACCCCGCTAGCAGATCACTTCCACGTACAGCACTGACTGTTCACAGTAGAGACCCACGTCCTCTAGCTCCCATCCCACTTCCCTGCTTCCATTCACAAGAGACTCCCCGAAAGCAGTCTATATACACTTCCGCCAATTCTTCCTTTCCTGACTCTGTCAAACCTACTTCAGATTTTTGTCCCCTCTACTCCACAAAACTGCTTGTCAAGAATACCAATGACCTCTGTTGCTAAATCTAATCTTTAAGGTCAATTTTCAGTTTTTATCTTACTGGACCAATATATTTTATCACTGTGGCAGTTGATCATTCCCTAACCCTAAATACTTCCTTTGTTTAGGGACGCCTGGGTGGCTCAGTCGGTTAAGCGTCTGCCTTCAGCTCAGGTCATGATCCCAGGGTCCTGGGATCGAGTCCCGCATTGGGCTCCCTGCTCTGCGGGGAGCCTGCTTCTCCCTCTGCCTCTGCCTCTCTCTATCTCTCATGAATAAATAAATAAAATCTTTAAAAAAAAAATGGTGGCCTATACGATCTACCCACATTT